CCTAGAGACAAATATTCATCTTCTGCTCACATCTCAGATTAAATCACAACAGGGATTTTTTCAAACAGAGTTTTTTGCTCTCGGATGTTTACTGAAACGCTGATATTGGAAACCTGGAGAGATGGTTTACTTGAAGCAAAGCAGAAGATTCCCACTGAGGGCGTCGGAGGAAGCGAAGCCGATTTAAAAGCAGCAGAAGCAACAAGAAATCAGAGATAATTAAATTTGAACGTGTCGTCGACGTGTCCTCCCAGCTCAGCAGGAAATCTTCACTGAGCTTCTCAGACATCAGATCAGCACCAACTGAACTCATACAGAGAACATTTATCATCCACAGTAGAGTTAATTATTGTGTTGATGAGGAAATGTTTTAGTTTGCAGCTGGAAATAGCTGAAAATCAAACATTTAGTTGGCAAAATAAATCATTTGCTTGCTTATAATATTTAGCTAAATATTCAACATTAAACTAAATATTTAGTTAGTAAACAAATTAAATAGCTAGGAATGAAGCTAAATATTTATCTTGAGGCTAAATATAAATAGCAGGAATTTATATAGAGATTTGCAATATCCAGCTTTTATTTTGATAGTTCACTTCTGATGAATTCGCATATTAAGAAAAAATGTTTTTTTCTTACTGAATCTTTTGTTTGGAGGTAAATATTTGGTCTACAAACTAAATATTAAGCTTGATAATTAAAAGTTTAGTGTAAAATTATGACATTTATAAATATACGAATGAAAAATGAACCTGATTTTTCCTCTAACAGGCTAAATAACCCAAATTATTGCTGTTAATTCTTGGCTGTAACTTTTCAAACAGCAGACCATTTATCGCATTTAAAGCTGCAGATTTTCTCCACAGCTGAAACCCTCGGACGTTTCTGAGGTGCTTCAGCTGCCATCGATGTTAATGTGTCGTCATTTTGTAGATTTATAATAATCTGATTAGCAGAAGCGCTGGCGAAGCGGCCCGTAGCGATCCGGCCGCCTCTCTCCTCTCTGCTCCGACTTCCAGCAGCTCATCCTGCTAACAGCATCTGCTGTTTGTCATAATGAGCGAAGCTTTATTGCTGCTTTGTGCACAACATTAAACTTTGCTAGATATGAGCCAATTAGCTCTCCTCCAAGCTGCATGTAAACAGTAAAGGATGATCAGGTATTGATGTCTGTCTGGTTTCCAGCAGCTGTATTACAGGATCTCTGGCTCTGGTTTTTCACAGCTGAAGCAAAGCTCCACAGACAGACAGCAGAGATCGTCCTGCCTGTTATGTAAGCGTTGATATAAAGAGGAAACGCGCAGAGCGGCGATCTGAAGCAGCGGCGGAGTGATGTACCGACCGGTCGCCTTGTTCATTTTCTGCCTCAGAGATCACACTGATTGTCACGGCTGCAGATTTTCTATTACAGCGCCTCAGCATCCATCAGCAGCGCTGCCTTCTCACACCAAGCCGCTCGTCCACAGGGAGCCTGTCTGCCTAACTTGCGCCTTAATGGCCTGTTATTGCGGCGCTGCGGGGGGCTGGGGATTAAATATTAATCCAGATTACCTTTGTGACCCAGTGTGTAACAGATCCGCCCAAAAACTCTGGATGCGCTGCAGCGTTTCATGTTTGAACACAGCAGATTTGTTTGGCCAGTGGGAACATTTTGTCTTCACTCAGCGCTTCGGAGCCTCAGGTGAGCGAGGCTGCTGATTATTACACGTTTCTCTTCCGATTCATTTATTTGCTGAATAGAGAAAAAAATCATGACAGTAGTGGAGGAAATGGCCCGTGAGAAATGTAAGAACGACGTGTTGGCAGCCATTTCTGAGCAGGAATTTCAGCAGACGAGGTTCAGGAAACTGCTACTGTTGCTAAGCAACAAATTACTTTTGTGGTAAAATATCCCCTCCCTGCCTCCACAATCTACCTTCAGTAACAAAGCAACTAAACTGCAAATGGGATGGTTTCTGGTTTCAGTACTGAGACTGACACACTGTCGATGAGGCAAAACATTATGACCACTGACAGGTGAAGGAAGGACTCAGATCATGTCCTTTTCGTGACGCCTGGAACTCGTGAGGCAGCAAGTGAACATTTTGTCCTCCATGTGGATGAGTTGAAGGCAGGAACAACAGGCAGCGCACGGACCCCAAAGCTGAGGGATTTTCTCTGGTCTGTCTGTGGAAAGGCCAACAAAGGGCCGATGATGAACCAGAAGCTCCTGGAGGAAAGGCATCGAAGAGGAGCTGCTGCAGCGGGAACTGATGGATGAAACGAGGTGGGAACGAAATGTGTCAGAACCGTCGGTTTGTTGTCATGAAAACCTTTCTGGATCCGCCTGTGTTCAGGGAGGCAGCATGATGGTTGGGGAAATGTTTCTCCATCGTCAGGTCTCGCTCCGCCCCGTTAATGTCTGGGTCGGTTCCAGTCGGGTTGGGTCTGTGTGTTCCTCACTATGGACAGCATCTCAGAAATCTGCCGGTGGATTTGTTCCTTCGGTTCTGCTGTAATTGATAGAAGGTTTTGGATCTCACGGTTTGGCCATAAAATTATACATTTTCCAACTGCTTTGGTCTCGTTGCGGGTAGAAAATGGCGGCTGATGATGTTGACTGAGGCGTAAATCCACCAGGAAATCACCGAATCCAGTCTGGTGCCAATCAAATCAGTTTTCCATCTCGTTCCATCCAGAGGTGGTTCTAAAAAATGTTGAGGAACCACACTGGATCCGCAAACAGAGACTGATCTGCCTGTGGAAGAGCTGGATACATGGAGAAGGAGCTGCTGAATCTCTGATCCAGGAAAGTTTTAGCAAACACAAGAATCTGCTGCTAACGTCACGGATCCAGGCAGACCAGAATCCTGGATGCATCAGCTCACTGCATGTCGTCATAATTTACTGCAAACAAACGCTGAAGCAGTTTGGTTATGGTGTGAACGTGATCCGACCTCAATCCGGATCCAGGTCTAACCCACAAGATGTCCACTGATTTATGTTGGAGCAAACAAACTAGTTAACGATGATGTAAAGACGGTTCCTCACAACGTCCTCAGATAATCTTTGGGAACCAAAGGGAAACATCTGACCAACAGAGACTGAATCTTTTTCTGTGTGGAAAGAAACTGAACCTCCTGAAAAAAGTCAACAAACACCAGGAGACTGCAGCCTCTCCTGGCCTCACGCGTTGGGTTAGCAGCTGTTTCTGCAGTTAATGTCACTTTTAGATTTAGTGTTTCTGATTGTAACTACACTGAGTTCATGCCAAGAGCCTGACATAAAGGACTGACATGTGGAGAAACTGTTCCTGTACGGTGGAGGAGTCGGGATGCTGTGGGCTCGATTTTTCTCCTTGAAACAACCTGATGAGCTTCAATGCTAAACAGAAAATGTTTCGTCCGAGTCCCAGAAGAAATGCTGTGGGTTAGAGGAAGAGCCAGGAGTCTGGAATACGAGTCAACCTGTAAGATTATAGGAGAAGTTTGGTAAGAAGAGCCAAGAACTGATGATTTGGTGAGGAAACCCTGGATTGTTCCCAACTCGGTGAATATAATTACTTATTAACGGTTTCATCTTTGTTGGGTCTTGACGGTACAGGACATTCTATAGTTCTTTGACGTTACTGTTAATTTGAGTACAGATTTTAATCCTCAGTCCATCCTCAGCTGACACTGACAGATCCTCATTACTTCCTTCCAGCTTTTGCCTCTGCCTTTTTTCCCAGAATGCATCAACAGGTTGAGCCGGACGCCGGCGATGGTCGGCTCTGAAGGCTGAAACTCCGTCAGGCGGTTCGCACACTGAAGGTGAAAACAAGGTTGCAGAGCAGCTGCTTCCCTCTGATGTGTGAAGAATCCTGCATGGGTCCATTTCGCCATCCGTCATGGCTGTGTGCGTCTCCATGACGACTGTGGCTGGGTTGTGTAATGCAAGTTTCTCTGTGGTGAACAAAAAGAAACCTCTGGAGGGCGTCACAGATTGACTCTCTGTCACCTGTTTTCCACCAGAGGAGGACGGACAGGTCTGGATCAGATCGGCCCAAACGCCGCGGCGTCTCCCTCCTTCTCTTGTTGTTGTTTTCCATCTGAACAACCGTTAATCATTGCTTTTGCTTTTGTCACCATGGAAACTGGACTTGCTGCATCCCTCGCAGGTCTGGGTTTTTTCTTTCACAATGCCCGTCCACAGCGGTCAGCCGAACATAAGGCAGAACCCACATCTCCCACCGATCCCCATTACAGGCTGGGAGGTTACATAACCCGCTGCTCTGTCTGAACGTCTGGAGACAACAGAACCTCTCAGAAACCAGTCCGGCTCTGGAGCCTCTGGGCTTCCAGCCTCACCTGCACCGGTTACATCTGAAGCCCTTCAACTGGAAAAACAACGAAACCCAGAAGGGAGAAACAGAGATCAGTTTACCTGACAGGCTCTAAAAATAGCACCAGGTTCTGCAGCAGCTTTTGTTCCTCGACTAAAAACATCGATGAGGGTTTTCAGGGTTTAAATTCACATTTGATCACCTTTCAATCGATCAAACACAAAATAAATGACGGGGAACCCCAGATCTGCGCTGCTCCTTAAAGGCTCATCATGGGATGTCAACAGATGAGAGGAAAATGAAAGCAGAGCAGGGATGAGGGCTCGGTTCGGGTCTGGAGTACTCACTGTGATCTTGGTCTCCTTGACCTCGGTGATCTGCCTCTTGGCCGGCGACACGGAGCCGGGGGGCTGCGGGGCGAGACAGGACGGATCATCAAAACTCTCCTCTGTGTCAAAGCTGGCTTCCATCATCATCCCGCTCACCTCCTCCTGCTGCTCTGCTCTGGGAAAGCCTCGCTCCGCTCTTTCCCTCACACACACACACACACACCGAGACTGCCTTCCAGTCTCACACACTGCAGCGCGACTGGAGAGGAGCGGAGTCGTGTTGTGGGGAGGGGGAGAGGGATGCTGAGGAGGAGGAGGGCTGCAGAGGGAATGTGACGAAGTCTAGCCTCCGGTTAAGTTGCTGTCACTAAAGTTTACGGGAAGGAAAATCTCCCCCATCGCCCAGATCTCCAGCACCTTGCCTCAGCCACGCGCCGCCCCTTATGGGAGTGAAGACCACTGAGCTGCAGGTGCTGGAGAAAAGGATCTGTGAAGCGCTGGTGACTGAGGCTGCGTGTGTTTGAGCTCCTGAAGGGTTAAACGTGACGCTGGAAGATGCAATGTGCTTTTCCTTTCCTGCACTGATCTGACATCCTGACCCAAACACAGAGGACCGAGCGACGCCTCACCTTTGCCGTGCAAAACATGGCGGCCGGCCGCTCCTACCGCCACATGCCCAGAGTTTCCGCCGATCCGACTTCCCGCCGTTCCCAACGTGAAATCTGACTTCGGTCGTCCTGTTTACGGGCAGCCTCTGCCATGTGGAGCCTAAACCTCAGCCGCCCGACTGTCCGTCCATCGATTCGCCTGCTTGTGATCGCCCGGCGGGGCCTCGGCCCAGGGGGAGTCGGTCACGAGGGTTGGCATGAATTGGTGTTGGCCCAGGTTCATGTGAGCAGCGGGAGCGGCCCTGCTCAGAGCGGCAGAGATGCTACTGAGATCCGAAAGGCTTTTCACACGATGAGCTGCTCTGATGATTTACACTGAAGGTTGGAAACATTGAGGACTGTTAATGAAATAAAGCCTCGTTTTCTCCTCTCCACCGGGTGTACATGCAAATAAAAGTCTTTCTGAACAGCCTGGAGCGAGACGCTCAGATTTTCTCAGGTTTTTATTTTGCAGGCATCCCTTTGTATCATGCAGTGCAGAAGACTTGGTTTCCCTTTAACACGCCACAGGAAGTTAACCATGATGCTGATGAGGGAAATGACTCAAACTGGTGCACTTTATAGGAAGACATTGATATTCTGAAGGTAAAATAAAATGTTTGGCTTTCTCCCCCCTTACAGATGAAGTTCAGACCATAAATCTGCAGAATCCCAAACCTAAAGCTTTCTGTGAACATAACCAACATTCAATTTTTAACAGTTTTCTTTATTGATGAAGAACAACGATGAGAGCATCGTACCTGATGAGGCTTCAGACAGACTGGCGTTACCCGTTTACACGATGCAGGGCTGCTGGTGCTCTCCAGGGATCTGCTGGCTGAAAAAATCAGATTATTTATGAATGCAAGGTTCAGAAAGATGTGGCCACTTCAGGCGGCCTGAACATCTGCTACACCACAACGTTTCTCCTTTGTGTTTAAATTGATGCACTCAACTATTATAGTTATTAGAGCCTTGACTTTAATATATTAATTTCAATTACTTAATCAAATTACAGCTTTATAAATCTGTAAGAGTTATAAAGCTTTAACACAATCAGTCGCTTCTTTACCTACAGAAGTCCTGAGCTGGAACCTTTGTTGCATGTTTCTGGTACGGCCGTAAATCTGACGCACAAGCTACATCCGCTAACAACGAAGCTGCTTCTCTCTGGTCAAACTACTGGGGGTTAATTTCTGTTCCTAAACGATCTGATTGGATGCTGGAAATGACTATTGCTGTGTTGAAGTTGTAGTATAATGAGTTTAACTATCAGTGAAGCTATGCTAGCATCTCAAAGCTAAACAAGTAGCAGCTAATGCTAATGTTGGCATCCACAGTCCAGATTTCTAAAGAAACTCCATGAACTTTGGTCTAATCTGATGGTTGAAGAACAGATTAAAAACCATAAATATAAATGCAGCTTATTTTGTCCAAATATAGTTGTCAATTAAAATGCAAAAACTAATTATACAGAAAAATACAAACAGAAATATATTTTACTACGGAATTAACATCCAAACAATAACTGTATAAATTCAGCCCTAATCTGTTTTTATTCTAAAACTGAATGTAGGAAAGTTTTCCTGCAGTCAGTCTGAAGATGAACCGTGATAAACTGTTAGGAATTAGACAACAGGCTCATTTATGAAGCCATTTCTCTGGGTTCTTGTTTGTTTACTTCCTGGTCTTGCATCACATCCTGTGTTGGAAATGTTCCTGGCGGCCCAGAGCGCTCAGTGAACCGAGCCTGGCTCCGTCCTGCAGCCTCCGTGGCGGTTCCCCTCCAGCCCTGGTGATTCATGAGCTGTCCAGTCGCTGCTCATCAACCCGGCCCGTTCCCAGCTGAAGGTAACCCAGAGCCAAGGCCGCACAGCTCTGCTGCATGGAGCCGCAGGCTGCAGGGCAAACTCAGATCATTTCACTTTGCTTACAGGAGCAAAGAGAAGCCCATGACTTCACTTAACCTCCGCCAGCATCGCAGTAGATTAATGTTTTTCTGACACAAGCAGCTCTGCTCAAAGAATCCCTGCAATAAATATGAGATGAATTGGCAGCTTTCAGGTTCCATGTTTGCTTCTGTTCACACACAGAACAGGAGAAAACAAGACCTGCTCTTTCTAATTCCTGTTACTCAGGTTCAGTAATTCACTGGTTTAATGAGCAGAAAGACTTTCAGGTAACTTCCTCTTCCTTCACCGGAGAGAGGCTGAAGTCAAGTCCAGGATGTCTTAATGACCCCAGCAGGTTTACAGCCCAACGAATGAAACGGAGGATGCCTGTTCTAATTTACGAGGCTGATAACTGCTGGAAGGTTTATCTGCAGCCAGCAGAACCACTGCAGAACCTCTGCAGCCCGGCAGAACCACTGCAGAACCTCTGCAGCCCGGCAGAACCACTGCAGAACCTCTGCAGCCCGGCAGAACCACTGCAGAACCACTGCAGAACCTCTGCAGCCAGCAGAACCACTGCAGAACCACTGTGGCCAGCAGAACCACTGCAGCCAGCAGAACCACTGCAGAACCTCTGCAGCCCGGCAGAACCACTGCATAACCACTGTGGCCAGCAGAACCACTGCAGAACCTCTGCAGCCCGGCAGAACCACTGCAGCCAGCAGAACCACTGCAGAACCACTGCAGCCCGGCAGAACCACTGCAGCCAGCAGAACCGCTGCAGAACCACTGCAGTTTGGTTTGAACCCAGGAAGATAGTTTTGTGTTTTAAAAACCTCACAAAGGTCATTAAGGTCACGTCAAGATGTTTCTCCAGGCTGTACAGCTACACTGAGCAGGTGAACAGAAAACTGAACAGATCAGGTTGAAGATGAATCACGTTTTAACGAGAGAAAACATTAAAAATAAGGAATATTTTCTTTTAACCTGATCTTCAACCTTCAGATTGGAGCAAAGTGTTTAGATGCTGACATTAACGGTAGCTGCTACATGTTAGCATGTAGCAGCTGCATGTAGCTAACATGTAGGCTAACTCCTTTTAGCACAAATTAAACACATCAATAGTCTTTTGCAGCGTCCAATCAGATCGTTTAGATTAGCCCTCAGTGGACCAGAGAGAAGAGGCTTCGTCGTCCATCGCCGTTAGCCATGGTAAATATAATTATCTTTTAATTAGTTGGCTATATTTTATCACTTTTTGTTTCTGATTACCTCTATTTTATAATCTATTTTTTACAGTATTTTCACGCAGCTGTCACAGCAGTTTTCATTTACACTGGCCTGTGTTTCATGAAGTAATCACCCTTCCCAGGTGATTACCTCCCTGTTCAGTCGCTTCTTTTGTCAGATCCTCTTTATTAAACCACTTCACCTCCATCCTGGACCTGCTGCTTGTGTTTGGGTCCTAAAGACTCCACACTCATGACATACTGATGTAAAGTGATGCCGTGTTCGGGACACGCCCGCTTCCAGACGGCGTTTTGTTCCGGAGGTTCCTGTTCATCCGGAGCAGCCGCTCAGATCGCAGCCCGTCAATAAAACTCTTCCTCTGTCAGCAGCGATGCTCGTGTCTGACTAAACGCTGACAAACCCCCTGCAGCCGGCTGCGTCCGCCGCTCCTTCCCCCTCGGAGTGTTTGGGCGTCAGCCAGCAGGAGGACAACCATCTGCTCCCTGACTCTGTTCGCCGGCTGAGCAGAGATGCTGCAGCCTAACGAGCCTCTTGCTGAGATTTCTCCTCCAGTTGTGTCCCTGGAGGATTGGTGACTTACTGAGTTGAAGAAACTGGAGATCTCCAAACTATTAACCCTTCACTATCTATTTAGAATATATCTGTGTTTTTATTGTTTTGGGTGTTTTGTCACTTTGTGTTGTGTTGTCCAGTTCTGTGTCCAGAACCTGGGGCTGAGGAAGAGGAGGCTGCTTTCACCATATGGTGAGGAGTTTGTGCTGCCAGCTGTCCCTGCGGGGCTTCAGCTGAGGAAGAGCGGCGCCGCCGCCATGTTTCCACTGGACCGGGACTGATGGTCGGATTACACACAGTTTGTTTTCAGGTTTCCTGTCTGACTCTAAGCAGGTTTTATGGGCTGTTGGTCTCAGAAACAAACGATGAGTGTTTTTATCGATGTGTGGCCTTCGTGCAGAAATCAGCATTTTGTTCAGAAATGTAATCAGAGATCATCCGACTCTGCAGAGAGCAACTCTCTGTGAAATGTACGAGGATGAAGAGGATTTGTGTTGTCATTGTGTTCAGAGAGGCTTGGATGGAAAATCAGCTACTTCTGAGTTTGAACTGAGATGAAATTAATCCATCCATCTTGAGTTTCTTTCAGTCTGTATCTCCTGATAAACCGACAGCTTCATGTTTCAACTGAATTGTTTCCTCATGGCTGCAGATGAAGCGTTTTGTCTCTCCTGCCATCACTCGCTTAGAAGAAACAAAGATTTTTTTCATCATTTATTCTATTTTTCAGATTTTATTATTTTGTTATTTTTCTGGCTGGGAAGCTTTGGTTGATTCTAAAGATCAGATTAATGTCTTCCTGCCTCAGTGTCGTCCTGAAGACAAGATTAAGACGGTTTTCCTCCTGATGGTCCGGTCGACCCGGTTCTACTGGAACCAGAACATCTGCTCCACCACCTGCTGCTGTGGTTCTGAGTCAAACCAACCTGTTCCCCTCCTGGCCTGTGGGGGCGCTGCACCAAGAACCACTGAAGGAAACGACACAAAACCCCCTGAAGACACTGAGAGCAACTTCCTTCTTCACCAGATGGAAACAAGATGGAGGATTTTAGCGGTTGGAGGATTTCTCTTTAGGCTAAAGACCAGGAGACATTTCTGCTGCTAGCGCTAGGCTAACACGTTAGCTTTGGTTGTATTTACCCAGAATGCCCTGCGCTGTAGTCCACTTCCTGCTTTTGGAGCGGTCTCTGGTCCGCTTGGCGTTCACATTCAAACTGAACCAGAGTTGAACCCAGACGAGGTTTGGAGGACCAGAGTTAGCTTAGCATTCATACCTCACCAACCGAACCGGACTTTATAGGTAAACGGACTGGAGTTGGATTAAGCAGACTGAATATCATGACCCGGTTTAACTCCCGGTGGAGTCGGTGGGTATGTCAAAGTCACCGCAGCTAGAAAACTTCTTTATAAACGTCCCCAGAGCTGAAAGCTTTGTCCTGTCAGCTAACAGCCACGTCTTTAACACGGTAACCGCTTTAAAGGCTCATCTCCTCTTAATTAATCTTTCACATTATTCCAAATCCCACCAGCATAATTGCAGCTCTGGAGGGACTGCGTGCCGATATTCCAGCTGATCCCCTTTGTGAAAATGTCTCCATTAAATGACAGCCGCTGACAGCGACAAGCAGCTTTCTGAAACACTCTGACGTCTTTATAACTGCCACATGCTGAGCTGCAGCTCCCTGAACATGACACAACAATAAACTAACAGAACGACAGCGGCTGCTGCAGCACAGGCTCCGGTATAAATATAGCTCTAATTTCTGTCTTCAGATGTGCGTTTGAACTGAGTTTCTGCAGCCTCCGTGTTTTCCTCCATAACAGGCGGAAACACAGAGGCTGCCGTTGTTCCCAGAAGGGTGTGAGAGCAGAAACTTTCCTCCACCTCCTGAGAAACGGAGCAAATCCAGGATAATCAGATTAAAGTGTGCAGGCCTGATGGAGCCTGATGATGAGGAGAGAATAAGAATGAGTCCAGTTCGCAGCTGGAGACGAACCCGGCAGCTTTTTTCTTTATGTACGACACAAACATCTGATTTATGGAGCAGATTGGTTCAAACTATTCTGGACGTTCCTCTTTTCTCTGGACTCCTTCACAGAACAAAACCAGAGTTTTGGTTCGTTTTACCTTCACTGGGATGACGGTTCTGGCTCCCAGCAGGATGGAGGCGCCGGTCCGGTTCGGCTGCAGCGCAGCTCTGTGGACACAAACCAGCTTTACATGGAAACCATGAAACTTTACAGAGTGGTCCAGAAATAAAATCAGGCAAAAACTTAAACAGCAAAGTCAACATGAACTGCAGGAAATGAGGAAATATGAAAATGAAAAGCACAGAAATCAACTTTTCCACTCTTTTGTTTTATACTTTAGTGTTTTGCTTTCATGCTCAATTAATTAAATACTTTTTTGTTGAAAAGGAGAAAGTGTTATTGACTAAATATATGTAAATAAATTATTTCAAGAAAATGTATAAGAACTGAATTTTCTACAGTTTAAACAACTCAAACTTACATTATTTTATTTTTTCTGTTTACTTTATTAATCTTGGGAAAAGAGGATTTAATTATCTTTTTAAGAAATAAGCCTTTGTTTTTCTTTTTAAATGTATTTTGTGTTAATATTATTGGGAAAATACTAAACTAAATAAAAGCAAAAAATAAAATCGCATGAGATTTTTTGAAACAAGGTAACGTAACTTTTTTTTCTATTGTTTCCATTTTTCTGGGAAATTTCTTACAAAAACTTGACAATTAAATATGAACCTATATTTTATTTAATGCTTATAATTAAATGTTATTCTAATTGTATCACTTTTGTTTTTAGGGTAAAAATGAATATTTTTTATGTTCTCTAAAGCAAGTGGGAAAACAGAAGCTAACAGATGTAGATGAAGTTCAGCTACAGAGAAAAGTTAATCATGTTTTTGATAAAAACCCGATTCGTTGATCTGCTGCTGAACAGCAACAACCATCAGTGACTAACAGCAGCAGGTTCCGTCAGAAACGAGCTGCTGGTTGGTAATGATTTGGTCGTTAACGCTGATAACTGAGTTTACTTGGAGTGGGAACATAAAACCTGCTGCTGCTGCATCATTAAAGTTTAGAGCTGCAGCACAGAGAGGAGGTAAGTAACGTGAAGGAGGGCCGGCCAAAGATATTACCATCAAATGTTTCAGCACCGACTCCTCACTAAAACATGCTGCCGTTCAAGCAGTGAAAACGATCCAGTAACTGGATAAATAAATCCTCCGTATCGGCGGCTCCCCTCAGCAGACATGAAGGTTCCCGCTTCATGCCGAGGACAGAAACGACTGCAGTGATTTACCTGAACCTGACACGCTTCAGGAAGCTGCTATCACTGATCTGTGGTCAGATAACAGCTGAATACAGAGGAGGAAAGATGTGCTGCTCTGCTAGCTGCTGTGCTAGCCGCTGTGCTAGCTGCTCTGCTAGCTGCTGTGCTAGCCGCTGTGCTAGCTGCTCTGCTAGCTATTGTGCTAGCTGCTGTGCTAGCTGCTGTGCTAGCTACTCTATCAGTATTACAGTACTTTAGATGTTATTTAACCAATAGAAACTGGTAGCTGGCCAAAAAAGGTGCAAAATTGTTTTTGATTTGTTACACTGAACAAAAAAATAATACTGATGGGATTACGGGATGAAAAATATCATCCAGTTTAAAAAAATACAGGTCAGTCTTTTTTTCCTAAATTTTGCTCCTTTGATTCAGGATGATCAGCACATCAAACAAAAGCATTCAGTGAAGAGTAAAAACAGATTAAAGTTTAGCTGAAAACCTTGAGAAAGCCACACCCACAGAATTTTCTTTGGAAAAGTCAAAGTGGGCGGAGCTAAGAGACGGAGGGGCGGGGCCAGGTGTGAGGATGAGTGGAAGGGGTTAAACAGGTGAGGTCAGAATGAGAGAAAGTTCTGCTGCCAGCTTAGCAAATTTATTGGTATTTTTAGCAACTTTCAAATCAGTTTCTGTTCCCTGGTCTCCATGATGCTGGTTGTTCTACAAACCTCCGTTAGCAACTGTTGGGTCAGAGCGATAAATTATTCAGGGTGTGTTTACACCTTGTTGACAGAGAGCCAGACTTATCTAATGATGCTGCTTCACTGCTTCCAGAGCAGCAGCGAGCTGCAGCGCCGCACTGGGAGAGAGGAGAGGAAACCTGAACCTACCAGAACAAACGGCACAGACACCTGAACTAACTCAGGGCATAAATTCACATTCACTGAGCAAAGAAATGATGAAAACATGAAAGCATCCACATGTTCTGGGTGATACGAGACTTAAAGCCTCCGGACCTGCAGAGGAACGACTCCACTCCAGAGGAAGGAGTTTATTTCACTTTCAATCTAGAATTTAATTCTTTCAGTAACGATTTCAGTGTCAATGAGCATCAAGTTGCTGACAGATTTAATCTCCTGCCTCCTCCCAAAACCCCCAGATAAAATGTAGCTGCATTAATAAAGCATGAACACAAACAGTTCCCTCTCTGTCGCTGAGCAGGAACAGTTTATCTTTTTAACCAGATCTCTTTTTCTCACTGATTTCACAGGCTTGAAAGCAGAAATGCAGCCAGAAGAGATGTGATGTTTTAGCGTGTTAGAAAATCAGCCACGTCTCGATGTGAGAGACGTTTAAACCCTGATCCTCTGGGCGCTGCTGCTCCCCGGCCAGGATTAGCTCCTCTGTTCGCTCCGGCTGCTGACGAAGACCAACAGGAAACCAGGATGAAGATCACCGCCCCGCTGGAGAACACGACTCTGGTCGGTTGGCCCAATTATTATCAGAGTAAAAACATTAAGTCCCCCGGCCGTGTCGTTTAAATGCAGTGTTTGCACAGCCTTGATTTGTAATCCTGGGTTCGCTGACAGCGGCTAAAACTCAGATTTTTCACACGGTTTGTTACCTCCAGGCTGCAGATGAGACTGAAGCAGTAATTATAGGACGAAAGAGAGGAAGCTCTGCAGAGCAAAGACCGACGGTTAAATGAGATAATACTGATGCATTAGTCCAGCTGCCTGCACTTTGTTGGTCCTGCAAGTCAAAGTTACGTCAAATGGAAGTAATTTAGTGACTCCAACTGAAAACAAGTTAGAAGTTTCCTTTATTTAATGTATTTAAACATTTGGTTTGAATTTATCCCGTAAAAATGACGGTCAGATGAGATTGTTGTAAATCTTAGGTAACAAAGATTTTAATAAAGAGTGATTTCAAATTCTACAATTATTTTCAGATTTGGATTAAGGTCAGGATTTCACTGTGTTGTTTTTGATTCATTAATTACAAATATTTTAAAACCAGTAATCTTTTTTTTTACGTACAAAAGTTGAAAGTAGAACCTTTGTATTTGTGCGTTTCCGGTACACCGGTAAATCACAAACAAGCACAAACTATAAATATATTTGTTCTTGAGCTCATATCCAATAATTTAGAAATTAATTATTTACAGACTCTGCAATTAACCCCGAGTCCCACCTCTAATTTAAATACGAATCATATTATTTGACTCATTTATGTTGAGTAATTAGTATGTAAACAAATATCAAACCCACAAATAAACATACAGTTAGAGATATAAACTTAATTTTCTGTCCATAAGAGTCTAATTGCAGCTCCTACCTTGCTGTCGCTCTGCAGAAACCGAATGAAGACAGAGAGTCTGCAGAGCCTGCAGCTGAACCTTGAGACGGAAACTGTTTCTAAATGAGCAGCTTCAGAACCATGAAGCAGCTTCAGTTTGGATCAGAGCAGACAGAGGTCAAAGGTCGTTCTTCTGCAGTGAAACAAAGCCAGAAATGTTCTGGCACACAACAACACGTCTGTCCTGCTCTGGACTTTCCTCTGCATGTTCTGATCGAGAGTCAGCCGGATCAGAACATGAAGGCGATCCGTGTCTGAATATCTTACCAACGTCTGGACTTTCTGTTCAGAAGGTTCTGGAATAAACACTAACCTGCATCTGTAAACAACAAATAAAAATACAATTCAATGATTTGTATTTTATTCCAGATATAAGAATTTACATTGAATCAATTGTTGAGAAAATACATTTAAAATAAGCTAGTTTTAAAACTTAACATGTCTTGATTCAAATGGCCTAATTGTGGTTTTGAAATCAGCAATGTATTCTGACTGTTTGACCTTTATGTTACCTGTAGTTACAGCAGATGGTTTGCTAGGATCGTTTGAACTGCCTTTTGTCTGTGTGGGAAAACAATACAGGAGAAGTTGTAGCTTTTCACACTCATCTGTGAAAGGCCGTAAACACGGCAGGAGTTCCTGGCTTGAGAGAGGGTCAGAGATAGCTCCTGGTTGGATGAGCAAAGATACGCCTTATTTGAATAAATTAAAGATAAGAATACGCCTTTACTATAAAACTTTCTACACAGAAGTAACACATTAGATTTGCTCTTGCAACTCTCCAAAGACGTCTTTGCTTTTCTTTCTTTCTTCTTTCCATTTATGTCAGGTAAATGAATGTGTGTCTCCGTTGTTCTGCAGTTTCTGTTGTAAGTTTATGCGTTGTCTTAAACTGTAATTCTGTGACGTCAACATGCATTGTTGTTTTCTTCTGAGTGACCACAGAGGACCTGGGATCCAGAGGAGGAGAGAGCCAAACTTTTTCCAAAGTTAACTAATTTAGAATCTCTTCCTCAACACAATACAAAATATCAAGAATCATAAGAGCTTTGAAATGAAAACTGTAACAGAATATGAATCTCTAAACTTGCAATTAAAGCAAAAACAGAAGCATCTCTAATAGCTGAATTAAAAGTCTTCAGTTGACCCAGACTGTTTCTCAGTAGCTGATCATACTTACGTAATTTGGCATTTTGAAATTAAATTCGCTTAATAAAAACACGACAAATTTTTAAAAATTCTCGTTTTTTCATGAAAAGTTTCGGCGCTGGTTTGACGTATTTTTAGCCGCTTCTGGTTTATTTTTGAAAATCTATAACAGAAACCATTTTAGTGTCACGCCAGTCACGTGATCAACAACCGGATGTTGCCCCTGGCTCAACCCACGAAGAAGAAGACAGGAAATGGTTGGAGGATCCCGGCGTGGTATGTTTAATTACTTATTGCTGAACAAAATTATTCATGTGTGACTGTTTATTATTTAATGGAAACACCGTTAGCGGAATATTGACAACGATTTGCGCACATCTAGCGGCTTCTGTCTTTTCGCTTCTTGTTCACATTAGCAGATATTTTGCATAATGTTCACTTTAAGCTAATTGTGCAAACCGAGTTGCGGAATTCCGAGAAGTTGAGAAAGAAAAAACAAAATTTATGAAGCTTCTTTTCAAAGTAGAGCTTTTTAAAGATGGCGTTTATAGTAGATTTCACATAAACAGAATAAAAACAAAGCACTGCGTTTCTAGGTAAGTCTGTTATTTGATCATTAATTTTCATTAATCACCCGCTGCGGAGCTCCCGGTTAGCGCTAATAAACATGAGTAAGAAAGTAAAAGTGAGATTTTGGCTTCTTAGAATTTATATTTAAACTATTTGCTAAATTATTACACAACTAAATGAAAAAAAAAATTCATCTCTCTTTTTTATTTTCATCCATTTTAGAGGGAATTATGAACAAACGACTGGAAGCACAGCCTCCCAGTCTGGACTGGTTTCCTTCACTGGAAATCCGCCACTGGTCAGGTTATTGTTTCAATAATGTAAAAAAAAAATAACTCTTTGTTTATCTAATCTTTTATCACAGATCTATAGATAACATTGAAATGAATTTAAAGGGGCTGTTATTGTTGCAAAGTTGTGGTTTTATTATGATCAACATAGTAAAATGAGATTGTCTGGAATTATGTTTACGTGCGGCTCAGATCGGTCGGCCTCCACCTGTCAGAACAGAGTAAAGCAAACAGAGCGTCTAAAATAAGCTTCACCTTGGAACAATCGGCTGATAGAAATGGGAAGTTCACAGGACACCGGCGCTTCAGTACTGACCAAACCGGATCGGAACCGTTTAGACAGCTTTCCTTGACTTTTCTATCCTGTTCTGCTGTTACTTTTCATCTGATGTTTAATTTTACTGCCTGAATATTTGGATCTGGCAGCAGGTTTTATTCAACTAATCACCACAGAGCCTGAGATCCAGTTTTACAGTAACTATTAAATTAAAAGTAAGCTGCTAGAAGAGGTGCATGTGAAGAAAACTATGCCGAGCTAAATGAAATTAATTTAGAGCCAGATGGTTTACATAAAGACAACACATGCTGTCTGGATACTGAGACTGTCATACACAGCAATCTTCAGTCAGAGGCTTCTTCAGATGTGTTGGAAGACTGACTGCTGCTGGAGATCCTTCCAGCCCACAGCATCACTGTCCATAGCGCCGCTCTCAGGTCGTTTCAGTGAGTTAGAATCACTTTGAGCTCTGAGTTATTTTCTGAAACACTGAGGACTTTGTCCAGGTCAGGCTTCACCTCGCCGTGTCACCCAGATCAACAGCTTCACATCAAACCCCGTCCCCCTCACCACCCCGTCCCCCTCACCACCCCGTCCCCCTCACCACCCCGTC